CTGGTATCGTATACAATTTGGATGGAGACAGCACCGGAGCATTAAAAAGACTGGGAGCATTGAGTGCTGGGACCTATATATGATATTTGATTTGTTATCATTTTACTGAAATATGGAGGATAGCAATATTGCAATATTTTAGTCAGGATTTCATCATATACAGTAAAAATAAAAAATATAATCATCAATATGCACAAGAAACCTTGTGTTATTTGTAACAAAGCAGTATAATAAAAATGAAACAAAATGTAAAAAATAATCGTTTAGTATCAGTATCAGTGTCCGCAGTAATCGTTTAGTATCAGTATCAGTATACTGATACTAAACGATTACTGCTGACACTAAACAACTGCACGTCAGAGGATTTCATGTTAAAATAACACCTTACTGATATTGTATAAAGATTGACCTCCTCCTTTACCTACCTAATTTGAATGTATGAACTAGATTCTACCTTATATCCTTCTACTAAAAAAGAGGAGGGAAGGAAGACCGGACATATCTAATTCTCTTGTAGTTATTTTCTAGGGCTCAATGAAGCTTGACTGGAGGCATTTATATATTTTTTAATTTGACAATTTTTATTATAGTCACAAGAAAACTGCAATTCTAGCTGGGGATGGGCGGTACAGAAGGAGAGAAAAAGGGAAGTGGGGGGGAGGACCAGCAGTTACATAAGTTGGGAGCACGTAAGACCACTGAGAAGCGGATTACAGTAGTCAAGGCGAGAAAGGACAGTGGAATGGACCAACACCTTAGTCGCATCTGGAAGTGCCGAAAATAACCGGAGAATCACAGAAATAATGGAGATCAACTGTGAACACCCGGGAATGAGATCTCCAACAGATGAAACTCATCTACACAGGACCAATGAGGAAGGACAGAGAGGCACATGTGATCAATTACATTTAGGGATTAGCCCTATTTAAAGGACTTGGGGGTGGAGGGATGTTAGGCTGTTTTTTTGATTGTACTGCATTGATTGTTATTTTAATATTGTGGTCCCTGAGGAAGTCCCATACTTTATAGAAGGGACGAAACGCGTAGGACCTCTATTTGTATTTATTTTATATTTTTATACAATTAAAGTCGCTTTTTTCATACCTTCACCCGGAGTCCTGCATTTTGAGTGGAAGTGTCCAGGGGATTCCCCCAGCCCCCCCGTATCATCAGGGGTGGCACCATATATGCCTGAACTGTCCAAGATCCTGTGAGTGTATTTCATATTGCGCAGTGTTAATATTATAAAACTGTATTACATTATACCTCTTTTTATTTATCTTTATTTAGACAATCAGCCGGTTCCCTCGTTGTGTTTTGTATATTCTTAGTCGCATCTGGCGTTAAGTAGGGGCGGATGTGCACAATGTTTTTGAGTTGGAAATGACAGGATTTGGCGATAGACTGAACATGAGGCTTGAAGGAGAGGTCGGAGTCAAAGAGAACACCTAGGCAGCGAGCCTGCGTGGTGAAGCTGATGGTAGCACCGTTGACTAGGAGGGAGACAGACCCAGGAGTAACAACACTTGAGGGAGGAAAGACCAGAATTTCAGTTTTGGTCAAGTTTAGTTTAAGGAAGAGGACAGCCATCCAATTAGAAACAGCAGAGAGGCAGTCAGAGACACTAGTCAAGAGGGACGGGAGAGATCAGGAGAGGACAGGTAGATTTTTGTGTCATTTGCATAGAAATGATATTGAAAGCCAAAGGAGCTAATGAGTTTACCAAGGGAGGCACAGTAGGGGACCAAGGACTGAACATTGGGGGACACTGCCTGCCCATATGAATTTTTAAAGAAGGACTCTGGGGATTGAAGTGGGAGCGTGCGAAAGACATACTGCCCTGTATAAAACCCTGTCTGATCATCTTTTATTATGGACAGTAGTATAGGACTGAATCTATCAGCTAGTATTTTAGCATATATTTTTAGTCTGAATTGAGTAGGGAGATGGAGCGAAAGTTTTTACAAGCATCATGAGGTTTGTCAGGTTTCGTTATGGTAACAATTATGGCGAGTAGCATCTCAGATGGAAGGGTACCAGAAGCAGTAGTCTCATGGTACACTTTTAAAAGGTAAGGGGCTAGAACTTCAGCGTACTTTTTGTAATAAGAATTGGGGAGACCATCTGCGCCCGGTGATTTGCCAGGGCGTAACCCCTTAATAGCGGTCAAGACCTCAGTAATAGATATGGACCCATTGACAGCTCCGCAATATGGGATGGTGTGATTTGAGGGAGGTGTATTTTGGACAGGTAGTCGGATATTTTCTCTGCATCAGAACTGTGTACAGTGTTGTGCAATTTTAGATTGCAGAGCTTGGCATAGTTATTTGCAAATTCTTGGCTAATGTCAATGGGATTTATCTTTTTTTGAGACATCATCCCCGACTATATAGGCTATTTTGAATATGGAATATTTATTTTAAAATGTGGAGGCTAAGTGTTTGGTTGCTTTTCCGCTATTGTGGAAGGTATTAGCACGCAATTTATGTAAATGATATTTAGTCTTTTCAGCGTTTAATTCCGCCAACTGCATGTATAGCAATTTAAACTTATGAGGTAGGTCTGTGGTGGGCTGGGCTTTGTTCAGAGAGAATGTTATAGCAATTTGTTTATGGCATTCTAGTACACTGGTGTTGTGTTGTCTTTTAAGGTAAGATGAGTGTCGGATAAACAAGCACCTTATGACAACTTTGTGTGCGGACCATACTGTAAAGTCAGGCACTTCGTTATTTGCATTAGCATTAAAATATTCTTGTAGTTCTGTTTTAATAGTGGATGCGAAGATGGGGTCCAAAAGTAAAAATTCATTAAGGCGCCATGTGCTCCTGCCTTTAAACTGGAATGTGTCAAATAATTCAACTGTGACAGGACCATGGTCTGACCATGTAATCTCTTCAATTTTACAGCTAGAGAGTTGGGCTAACAACGTTTGTCTAGAAAGAATGTGTCTATGCGGATGTAGGTATTATGTACTCATGAGAAGAATGCATAATCCCTTTCTGAAGGTTCAAGGGTCCTCCAAGCATCATACATATTATGCAGAGAAAGGAGTTTGGTTATTGATTTACACAGTGTCTCAGATCTTCTCTTGTTGTAGTCAGCATGGGATGCAGAGGTGTCAATGGGAGATTGGGTAAAATTGAAGTCCCAACAAAGAAGAAGGCCACCCTGTTTATACTTTTCAATCTTACCTAATAAAGATTGGAGGAAGTTCCTAGGGCTATCGTTTGGGAAGTAGGCCATAGCCAATGTATATTGGACATTATTAAACAGGCCCAGTAAGATGATGAACCTCCTTTTTGGTTAATATGATGTCTCTGGAGCGTAAATGCAACATCCTTGTGTATGAGGATTGAGACACCTTTAGTTTTACTGTCAGATAGTACATGATATTGAGTGGAATACCTCTTAGTTTAAAGTGACGGGCTATGTCCTTTTGGGTTTCCTGTATACATGCTATGTCTATTTGTTGTTTCGTTAGGTCTTTGAATAGTAGTCGTCTTTTACCTGGGGTATTTAAATCCTCTACATCAGGGTTGTCAAACATGCGGCCCCCCAGATGTTGCTGAACTACAACTCCCATGATTCTTTCAATGAAACAGATAGCCAGGGAATCATGGGAGTTGTAGTTCAGCAACATCTGGGGGGCCGCATGTTTGACAACCCTGCTCTACATTATATATTCCAATTTTCATATTTAGAATGTTGGCATAATAGAATGCTTGTGTCTAATGGAGCCAAAGGTAGATAAACAGAATGAACAAAAATGTAAAAGCTCATTTGTGGTAGGTTCAGTGGGGCAGGGGAACACATCCAAGAGAAGCTCAACGTGCTCACAATCAGGTGACTAGAGGGACACCCAGTGGCATTTGCTATAGTCCACATTTTCATAAGCTCAAGGTCCTCTTGTGCAGCAGTGTGCCCAAGTATTACCTTTACGCAGGAGGAGTGGGAGTCCATTTTCCAATACTTATACTGCTGGCACAGAACTTGGTGGGGGGGGTTACAAACAGGCAAGTAGAGGACGGAGAGAGGGTAGAACTTTGGGGTAACAAACCCAACTAGGCTCTTCCTGTAAAAGCAAGTATGCGCCAAGCAAGAGGAGGGCATGGTGGTGAATGTCTTAGGTAGCGGTACAACTCATTCATTTTGTGAAAGAGCTTAGTAGCAAATAGGGTTTACAATAAGCCTGTTATTTAGTAACAGATGGCAGAGAAGCTGCATAGTACTAAACATAAGTTATATGTTCCACAGTTTTTTTTTTTTTTAATAGTGTGAACAATGAACAGCATGCATGTGACACATGGGAGAACGAGTGAGTCAGAAAGGTAAGTGTGGCTCAGTGCCTTGGAACTAGAGGCAAATTAACCAGAGACACACCTAGAGAATTGAAACAAGGGCTCACAGAGGGCAGTTGCTTATAAAGCAAAAAGAGGGAAAAAGCACAATTACTCTCTAAATATAATATAGTAACTAAGAGTAAAAGGGAAAACTCAGCATACTACAATATCCCATTATAGTGGGGCACCCAGCCCAATCAGGAACAATATTTATATGTTCTATGAACAGCAGGGACATCTCAAGTCTCAGGTGAGTGCCCACTCCGGGGACATCCGAGGCACCTTAGCAAATCTCTCTTGCGTGGCATCTGGTGTTGGTAGTCCCCAGTCCTTAAGTCTCAAAATACCAGCCTCCAGAGTTGCCACACCATAGGGGACATCTTTGTAGTGGATCAGAAGCTTAGCTGGGTATCCCCACCTATAGTTGATGTCTTGAGCCCGCAATGTAGTCGTGATCGGTGACATACTCTTCCGAGCGGCAGATTTTAATATTACGATATGGATCCGGTATGTCGGAGGATCGACAAGCTTGTACCAGCTTCTCTTTTACATGGAATAAGTATACACTCACAATAACATCTCTAGCATCTCCTGAGCTCTATCAATCAGAAACTGGTCTGGGTGGACCTCCAGTGTAAGTGCTTGGAACACATCCAACAGCTAGTTGTTAAGGGCAGTGGCTGCAACTGAATCAGAAATGCCTTTGATTCTGAGGTTATTCCATTGGGAGTGGTCCTCGACGTCCGCAATCTTTAGTTTGTAGGTGGACCTCTTGCAGTTTATCCTCGAGGCTGTTGTAATCCTCAGTGAACTCATCCATTTTGTGCTCCATTTGTGCCGTTCTTTGGCCCATGTCGTGCATTTCTTTGCGCAGGTCAGCGTGTGTAGTTGGACCTTCATATTTACTTGTAAGCCCTCTGAGAATTCAGCCATCATCTGGCACATAGTCACAACTATCAGAGGTCTGTCTTCCGGCAACGAGGCTGGGGAGGCTGGTGATGAGAGCAAGCCCTCTCTGGAACAGGTCACGCCACCATTTTTTGGAGGACTTCGGCCTTCCCGCGCTTTCAATGCGGAGGACCTAGCCAGGAAAAAGTACACCCTTTCTGACTTCACAGCTTTGGCCTTTTGTCTCTGGGACATGGTGAGCCTTCTCCTCGTGTTTCACCTTCGTAAATGCTTTGCAGACCGATTATTTTTAGCTCCAAGCCACCTGAATCTCGGGAGCTTCACTATCGTGCATCCATTCAGTTCAGGTGCCATTCCATGCCCCTGCATTTATATATTTTGAGTTTCTATTAGCTCTACTAATAAGCACTCTAGTGCAGGCCTAGTGCATTGACTGAGAGTGTGATCCCCTGATCCAAAGACCAGTCTCCTACTTGAGCTCCCAGTAAGCTGCAATGGAGGTGGGACCAGCTCCTGGTTGACACATTAACTACCACAACACATAGTTATGGTGGTGTTCCTTTAATGGAAACATTTACAAGCTTTTCAACAAAAATACTAACACATTTATTTTGATTTGAGTAAAAAAAAAGTAGAAACGCAAAATAAATCTGCCATACTTATAAAAAAAAAAAACAGAATGTAATGTTTGATATGAATTCACAGTTTGAATCTAGAACCATCTAAATACACCCAACAACTCTTACATTAAAGATAATATAGCTCAATTATTCCTTGTTTTAAATGTAAATATTTAGTATATTCTTTCAAACAAGGATTCTTATGGGTAGTAGGTATAACTTATGAAAACATCTAGAGGGTTATGGCATACCCATAAAGTGTACTTTCTGGTGAATCATTTATTTGTAATCTGGGACTTGATAAGAACCTCAACTACCTCTGTTTCATACAGCCTTTTTCCCCATAAATTCCACTTTTACGTTTGTATATAGATTCCTTGTGGGAGTTCTAAGTATTTGAGTTGATGATGATTGGTATGTGTTAATGTAATAGTATGTTATCTAATATACGGCAAGCAGATATAACGAAGGATAAAACAGATGTCCCCTGGACAATTGCAGACATAAGACTCTGGATTTGAGAATCCCATTAGGTTATTTCAACAGAATCAGTAACATGATTAAAATCATTGTATAAATGTTCTGTTGCAGTCTGCAGATTCCTAGGCAGAGCATTTAACAAAAATAAAAGTACTTTCCACTTATCACTTTTAAGTAATGAAGAAAAAAAACCCTGTGAAAGATTTAACATCTGCATATTTGTGCAGCCGTAATGAATAATTCCTCCAGCATTTTAACATTTTTGAACACATCTCTTAGAGACATACAGCTGAGGATCCTGGAGCCATGGCTTGTGTTAAAGTTGTTAAATTTAACCTCACGGCATGCTGGTTTGCATCCCTCACCATTAGTGATGTCGCGAACCCGAAATTTTCGGTTCGCGAACGGCGAACGCGAACTTCCGCAAATGTTCGCGAACCGGCGAACCGCCCGAAACGCCATTGACTTCAATGGGGAGGCGAATTTTAAAACACACAGGGACTCTTTCTGGCCACAATAGGGATGGAAAAGTTGTTTCAAGGGGACTAACACCTGGACTGTGGCATGCCGGAGGGGGATCCATGGCAAAACTCCCATGGAAAATTACACAGTTGATACAGAGTCTGGTTTTAATCCATAAAGGGCAGAAATCACCTAACATTCCTAAATCACAATCAATATGGATTGACACCCGACATATGACATATTGACACCTTGACATATGGATTGACACCTGTCCTCAGAGCCCCTGATGCACACGGACACAGAGCAGAATAGAGACTGGTCCCCCTACATAGGGTCACTTGGCAGATATGGATTGACACCTGTCCTAAGGATCCCTGATACACACTGACACAGAGCAGAATAGGGACTGTTCCCCCTACATCGGGTCACTTGGCAGATATGGATTGACACCTTGTTACAAACTGCTATTTGTAACGGGCCCTTTAAATGGCAAATTGCCCTGCTTCCCTGGGTTGTGGAGAAGCCTACTTGCCAGCCTCCTCCCGCATGACTATGGCCCCTGGGAGATTGTGAAAATGTATGCACTTTTATTTGGTGTGTGGCCCTTTAAGACTGTCGGTGGGCATATTGGGGCTTATGGACTCTTTATGTGACTGGTGCTGGCCCTTTAAACACCTTTTTTGGGACATCAGGAAGATTGGGACACTGCCCCTTTAAGGCTGTGTCCCCAGACACATTTGAGACACACGGCCCCTTTAAACGGTGTCCCCCTGTGTCCCCAGACCTGGTGCAAAACCCTTTGTGCCTGCTGCTTGCTATTTCTTACCTTGGTTTTGTCTGTTGGGGAAATTATTTCAGCTGCAGAGACCTGAAGTCCCATTGATGGGACTTAGTCTTTCAGCACCTTATTTCAGCTGCAGGAGACTAAGTCTGCAGAGACTAAGTCCCATTCGGCGATGGGACTTAGTCTTCTTTTCAGCCTTATTTCAGCTGCAGAGACTAAGTCCC